AACCTTTCGAATGTTTTTGTTCTGCATCCTCCTATTAATCTGCTTGTCAATTTCACTCATCTGCTTTTTAATTAAAATATCCTCTGAAATCTGACTACTACTATTCTCTGACGTAGGTTTTGATCTTTCCGGTAACTGTGCTTCCGATAAACCAGTCACAACCCTCTCACTGGGCATTTTTTTTGGTGTAGATTCATTTGTTTTTGGCGAACAGCCATCACCAAAATTAGACTCTTCTACTAATTCAGAGTGAGAGCTAGGTCCGCTGGTACCTGGTTCGCTCGGGTGTGCTGATACATATTCACCCTTACACCCATTGGCAGCCTATAAGAAAATGAATTAACCTTTAAAAGTGATAACAGGTCAGTTACCAGTGACTCAGTAAAGCAGAAAAAATAACTTTATCAAAAAAGAAAAGTGATTAATCTGGTCAAAATACACCTTGCAAGATTAAAACCTTACATTTTTTGAACATTCCGTTGAAGCCGATTTCGAACACTGGTCCGGACAATCTGATGGCCCTGAAAAGAATGACAGCTGTAGGAGCATAGATTCACAAGGCTTTGAACCGGAGAGAAACTAACGGAAGTGGTCACTGAGACTGTGGTTACCCGACCTTTCTAAAAAATGTATTTTTACCTTTGTCTCCCGGCAAACTGCTACTGCTGGAATGTTGCTCAAGAAGTCTTTGACAGTCTTTCTGAACTGTATATTGATCGAGATCTGAACAAAATATGGCCTCTGAAGAACGCGTTGCTCTCAAACAACCCTTCTTCCCCAGATTTACCTTAAAAAAAGTTCCTTCAGCTATGAAGCAAACCCCTTGACGCTAAGTGAAACTAATGCATAATCATTGGCTTACTATTCATCGACTACCAATGAAAAAATGTAAAAGCGAAATTAATGAGTAACACTACAATCAAAAAAAAAAACTAACTGTGTTTGCAGCTCTTGGTGCAGGAGATGAATTTGCAGTCGCACTTGAGCCTGTAGAAGTTGTTGGTCCAACAAAATCAGTAACAAATGGCGACGAAACTCGAAGATTATGTTGCATTTGATGCATAGCCGCCTGTAGCGAATCAGTAAATGCTTTCTGGGCCTCAATACCATTCAGCTTGCCCTGTATAATGTATAACACTTCTATATTATTAAAAAAAGAAACCTTTCATGAAAAAGAATTCTTAAAACTCAAGCGTCTTTTAAAAAACATTAGAGCCATGTAATTTACTTATCACTACTAAAAATCTGTTAAAGCAGGAGTACCAACTAGTAAAATTTTTAATAACTTGCAAGCAGAACTTTATTCTGGATCCCATTTCATGTAATACTAATATTATGTAAAATTCACAAAAAAAAAAAAAATGGTAAAAATGATTTGATGAGACAAAATTCTTTTCGCCATTTCAAATTATGGTATTAGGAATTACAACACACTGCACAAGTATCTACTTAGATCATGAATAATTAGATGAAGTCTAGCTAGCAATTAAAGTCCCTCTTAGGAACCAAATAAGGAAAAAAGCGGATAAACCACTTAATGCAAAGTAGAAACACAACAGAACAAATTATATTACCATTCCATATCCTGGCTATTAATAAGATATATTTGTAAAGATCAGCTAAAGAAACTAAGTGGTTACGAAAAAAATACTCGATCGTATCATTCCAAACTCGAAACATCCTCAACGTTATTTAAGAACTAAATGGAAATCCCTTGAGACCCTTTTTTCCTATTATTAAAATCCCTTCTGATAACTTGTGATAATTTCAAAAACGCAGAGGCTCTCAAACATATTGAGAATTATTCCGAAAATACGATATTTAATTTCGAACAACTTATAACTCAATAATTCATCAACTCATAGCCACAACGAGTTTCCACAGTCTTTCCATCGACAATCACCGTAAATAACCAGAAATTCAGAAAAAATACTTTTATATATTCTCTGTACATAAAACTATTTTAAAAAACCAACCTGATGTGAGCAGTCAAACCCCGGTTGACCACTCGCTGCAGCCATTATATTAAAGTACTGTTGCACAAATTCTTGGTACTGCATACTTTGTAAAAAATAAGCTTCAGAATTAGATAAATTGGTTTGGTAGTGTGACGGGGTTGTTGTATTAGATACAGAATTTGCAACCTGTTGCGGCATATATGGAGTCATATAAGGAGTTGAGTAAGGTGCAGTTAGTGAACCAGCCCCCCAGAAATTCCAATCGCCTAAAAACATCCTGACTTCCAGAAGAAAGAAAATTAAAATGGCAAGAAAATCCTTACTTTTGCAAACAAATGCCACTTGATAACCAAAAAAATGAAATTTCTTTCTGAATAACTACTTAGCTGGGTAGCAAAGATACCTTAGGTAAGTATGTAAAACTGTCAATGTGCTAAGGATAAATGTGAGGATAATTTGTGAGGAAAGATATAAATATAAGAGATCAAAATATCCACAAAAAACAAGTCGGAACACCAATAATTACGCTTAAAGTGCCCAGAAAGGTACAGCTTGAACTAAATCCAAAAAAAAGGACAAATATTCGTAATATAAAAGTCGTTTTAAAACGACCATACTATGCTCTAGCGTCCTTCCAAAAACTTGAGACTTTTTCACCTGCTGCTTTTCAAGTCGAACCGTTCCCACAAAAGTTTATTCGTGACCTTGGTTCCCAAGTTTACATTTACGCAAAATACATGTAACAATCTCACATGAAAAATTAAGAAACAACTTAATTATCACTATTGCTACCGTAAAAAGACCGACCTTTTATAGTAGCTATTAAAACAGAAAAATACATTATTTGTTAAATCTTAAACTTTTTCGTCCCAAAACGAAAAAACTGCACCTATGCCATTTAGAAGTGAGATGTCCAAACATACAGCCAGAACTTCAGCTATACTGCTCATGCGCCAAAAAATACCAAAAAATAAAAATAAAAACACTAAAATCAATCAAATTTCGTATGCTATTTTCTTCCCTAAAAGTGATGTTCATAAATAAATCGAGAAAGGGTACTGCTAAGACTACTTAAAGAATACGGAAAAAATTAAAACTTGTTCAGACGTAGAATAATCATAGGTTGCTTTACAAAAAATGATTAAAAGCAAAAATCTTGTTAAGCAGTTTTGGATGATTTTTAAATGTCAAAAATCTGCTTTTAAAGAATAAACACGACTAATTCTTGCCGGTACTAATTGTATAAAGCTATAAAACAAATTGAGAAAGAAAAACAAAACAGTCTTTTTTTCTTATATCAAGATGTAGATGCTTTGAAAATTACAAATAGTCTGGTAAAACCTGTAACAAAGCAACATTATATCATGATAGACCACCACTGAACTAACTTCCTTTTAAAAGTTGGCCCAAAAAAACATGTCCTTCAAAAATGCATAAATGGTTTAATCAACAACTTCGAATGACTAAGGAGTTTAACCAAATATAACTTTGGTATCCATTGTCAAAAGTATTTAAAAAAAATAAAATAAAGAAAAGGAATGGGCAAAAACATGAAAGGCAACAAGTTTTCCACACCAAAAGAAAAAAAAAAAAACAAGGCTTTAAAAGCTGACGCCTAGTGAGTACTCAAGCCGCTTTGGACCTTTTGCATTATCCAAACATCAAAGTTATTTTCGCGGAATTCTCAAAAACAAAAAAAGCATATTAACAAACCGCTTCTTTTTCCAATGCCAAAAAATTGGAAAAACATCTCTCCTTCTGACTCGTGATATTACATCCTGAGAAAAGCTGCAACAATTTTGGAGAATGATTACTGAAAATAAAAAGCAAATCTTTTTAATCAGCGCCTGAACAGAATGACTGACGGCATTCAGAATGGAATATGTCGTGGCAGTATCTTTCGCGCCCAAACTAATTATAAGCATGCAAAGGCTGCTATGTTTAGCCACAGCTCCCTACCAGAAACTCAAATTTCATATTGCAAGTAAGGACTAACATTAAATTTAAAGCAATCCAACAATCTTTCCTCTTTTTTCTTTTTTTTTTCTGGCATTCGATCTCCCAAAAGAAACCTAATTAGCTTCTATTTTCCTCAAGAATGGACAGATCAATGTTTAAGACACTCTAAGAGTGAGGGTGCCATATATATATTAACATAAATATAAATAAATAAATATATATATAAATATAAATATATATATATATATATATAT